GGGGCATTCCCCTCTAAGAGCAGAAGTCTGTGCATCTTAACTGTATGCAGATTTCGAACCCTCCATTCTGTTCCCCTCCTGCCACCGGAGGGCCAACTGTCCCAGTCTGCCTGGGGCTGAGGAGGGTTCCCAGGGCATGGGGCTTTCAGTTTTAAAATCGGCGAGGCCTAGACAAACCAGGACAAGTTGGTCACCCTACTCAGAAGGCTTCTTGCAAGATTCCCCCACAGTATACCAAGCCCGTGCAGAATATGAATAGTACCCTTGCCAGCTTGGACACATCTCTGGTAGGGCCTTCACCACCTGATGACCGTCTGCAGGTCTGGTCTCTGTGACACGAACACAGTAGTTGCCCAGTAAATAGATCTATAGATGAAAAGATACAGGCCAGGGGTGCCTGGGTGTCTCACTTGGTTAAGTGTCTGACTTCAGCTCAGGTCATGATTTCACGGTTCGTGAGTTTGAGCCCCATGAGGGGTTCTGTGCTGACAGCTCAGAGCCTGGGGTGTGCTTCTGATTCTGTGTTTCCTTCTCTTTCTCTCTGCCCCTCCCCTTCTTGTGTCTGTCTCTTTCTCTCAAAAAAAAAAAAAAAAAAAAAAAATTAAAAAAAAGTGTTAATAATAAAAAAGTAAATAAATAATAATAAAAAGATACAGGATCTAGGTAATTCTGCCCTACGGTACAGGAGACATGGGCTTTGGCCTATCAGGAGAACTGCTTTCCTTATCTTCATTGTTGGCAGACCTAATTTGGAAAGGTGACCAATCATGAGCTGATCTTAGGCATATATTTTGCTTCAAGACTCTTTTCAGCACTAGTTGATTTCCGTCTGACCCCCTGAGTCACTGCCCAGCAATAGAGTCCCCAAAAGCAAAGCCCAGTGGTTAAAGAGCAGACACTACTTTTCTCTGACCCGGCAAGTCCTAGAGTCTTTCTCTTCAATGTGACTAGAGCCTGAAAACTTAAAGCATAAAAAGGAACTCAAGTCAATAAAACTTGTGTGTGGAAGAAACAGTACAAAATATGCACAAGCAACAAAAGGTTGTGAAAGAGTGTGACATGTTCTTGGAAGGGATATTTGGGCTTGGCTGAAGCCCAGGATGATGACAAGACTTGAGGCAACAGAGATTTGCAGAGCCTGAAGGCAAAATGCTTTGTACACCCAAACATTGTCAGTTGGGAGTATAAACCAGGGTACTGTCTCTGGGGGGCCATTTAGCAATAACGATCAGCCTTTAAGTAAACATTCTCCTTGATGCAGCAATTCCCCACAGAGGATTAGTACTTGGGAAAAGCACATCCAGATGCATCTATGAGGACATTCATTGCATCACTACTCAAAAACGAAGAGGAAGGCAATAAAACAGGACCTTCCAAACTGTCCATCAAAAAGAGACTGGGTAAATAAACTATGGTCAATCCAGTAAGTGGAATACTGATGAGACATTGTAAAGAAAAAAAAGAAGTCTATATGAGCCAATATAGGACCAACTCCAAGACCCTATTAAGTGAAGACACCAAGAGGAGTCTGTGTAGTATGATCTCAACTGGGTTAAATAAAAACTTAGATATTGTATGTATACATTATACATACATAGTTCATATACTCACACAAATACATGTGTTCTGTACAGCGACTTAGAAAAGGTCTGAAAAGATATGGAAGAAAGCCTGTTTTTCACTATAACTTGCATACTCTGAGCTTTTTTTTTTTTTTACCATGATCACTTTTTGTGAAAATTAATAAATGGAAAACTCACTGAAGGGATGCTAGAAGGGGAGGCTGGGAGGGGAAGCCCCTGCCACTTGATGTCAACTACAGACCCTTAACAGAAGACCCTTTAACAGAAATGGATGGTCAGTTACAGGCCCCCACGGGGAAAGATGTACATTGCATTTCCCACAAGAAATCCATGATCCCTGCAACTCAGCCAATGAGAAGCGATCACCCTCAACTCTTGCTTTTCTCTAGTTCAAAACAACCCCTCCCAACTTCCTCCTTTTCCATAAGATAACATTCCTCTCCTTTGTTGGACTTGCCTATGGTTTTACTATAGCTTGCTTATCCTGAATTGCAATTCTCTGTTATTATGAAATAAACCCATTTTTGCGCGTGGTAAAGTAACTTTTATTTTTTAAGGTTAACATTTTATAATGAAGGACAATTATAGCAAAAAACTACTTTCAACACACTCTCTCATATCAAACATCATGAGTTTTATCCTGTAGGTCAAAAGGTCCCAAGGCAGGAGTTTCAAGTTAAAGAATCAATGAATGATATACCTGTACTGTGCCAGATAAATCAAAGGTAGCTGCAGTGGCATTTGGATCTTCAGGAGAAGTATCCTTGTAGGGTCAAATGGACCAAGTTTTAACGCTAATGCTGCCATTTTCTTGACCTTGTCAAGTTGCAAAATCTATCTAGCCCTGGTTTCTTCCTTTCATCAAATGGATCTAATAATGAGCACCGACTGCTTAGGGTGATTGTACAGTACACAGCAGAGTTTCAACACCTAGCAAACAATTAATGTAGCAGGCAGTAATTGAAGTTGTAGTAATGATGTGCTGCCCCCAAGACCCATTAAGAAGGTTCTGGATCCATCTCCCAGTCTTCTTTGGACTTTATATATTCAATTCCTTAAACTTCTCCTTAAAATGAGGAATGCTTATTTTCTTCTAAAATGGATAGTTAGACCTGCCGCCTTAGTATGAGGATTTAAGAAACTGTTTTATCACCAAGTAATAGTTCACGGTCTTCCTCAATATAAGAGAGATAAGCCCGGTTTGTCCTGTGATAACCTTCAGGAGATAACTAGGGCTTGGAAACAGAAAGAAGGAAATTGTTTTTGCTAAACTCTTTGGACCTACACTCAACAAAGTCAGGTGACCAACTACTTCTCTGAGATGTAAAGCTCTCTGCTGGTCTAACACAAATGTGGTTTATGAGTATCCAGAAAATAAAGTCTGTTAGGTGGACCAGCCAGGCTAATCACCCATGGACACCGCAGCTGAAGATCCAAGAGCCACCCAGGCGCCCCGACAGTTCATTTCTAAATAAGACTTTGGGGGCACCTGGGTGGTTCAATGGGCTGAGCATCCAACTTCGACTCAGGTCATGATCTCAGAGTTCAGGAGTTCGAGCCCCGCGTTGGGCTCTGTGCTGACAGCTCAGAGCCTGGTGCCTGCAGTCCCGGATTCTGTGGTCTCCTGTCTGTCTCCCTCACCTCGCTGCGGCTCCTTCTCTCAAAATAAATATTTAGAAAAAAAATTTAAGACTTTGGCACTCACTGCCCAGCTCCATTGGGACTAGATTAAAAGTAAAAACAATATAAACTCTCCCCTCATCCAGTGCTCTGGGGCATTTCAAGGCAAGTGTACAGCAGCTATAGACCAATTTGTGGCCAAGTATCGAGGCCTGAATCGCAACTGGCCTCAGACTCTACAGAGAATTACCTTGCTGGGTATGTGAGAACTGGTCCCCAAACTGCCATTTGTTCCTTAAGTCTCTGGTGAAATCCTTAGTAGCATTCTCCACTTACAAATCAAATGAAGAAAGATAAGATGAGTTACCAGCCCGACTATGATAAAGAACATGTTTCCAGCAACCAGGCATTTCAACCCAGCCCAGAATTCCTGTGTGCCCTCGGCAATGCCTCACTACACATTACGCCGGGCGGTCCCAGCCAGTAGCTCTTAGTCTGGAATCCTGAAAGGAGGTGTGTCAAGGCATGGAATGAGTTCTGGGAGCCCCCATCCGCACTCACACTGGACTGCTAACTGTCTTTCACAGTATCTACGGACAGCAGAGGGCCACGCTTTCTTGAAGAACTAACCTGGTCATAAATAAGAAGCAGGAGTGTTGATGAGGAAGGGATGGAGGGGAGACTCCGTACAGACTTCTGGATGGTGCCAGAAACCTGAGCATGACTGCTCCCTTCTCTAGAGCTCCGTTTCCTCATCAATGAGTGAAAGGGCTGGGACTAGCCCATCAGAGATCGCTCCAGGCTACTGCCAAGGATGTTCTCCCTGCAAATCTAGGGAGCGATCCTAGAGAACAATCTCAAATTCACAGTGACTCATAAACCAGGAGTTCCTGGTGTGGGGGTGTGGGGGTGTGGGGGTGGGGGAGGAGTGGGGGGGAAGGGGGGAGGCAGCAGCAGAAAGGACCATGCAGCATCTTCTATTTGGTCTGGGAATCCTGAGCCACGCTGCACAGTGAAGAGAAGAGACATTTCCTTCTAGCTTCAAGCTCTCCCTCGCATAAAGACTTCCAACACCCGGGATACTGCGGGGAGTGGGGCAGGGGTAGTTTCAGCTTGCTCACACACCATCACTCCCAAACTTCCCTCTCATTCCCCAGGCTTAATCACTGGAGAGGGCACAGGCCTGGGGAAGTTGTCTTTGGAGCTCGACTGAGACTGGGAACTAAAGACAAAGAAATAAGAACTAGTAGTCATTAACTTGATTCTGGCCCAAAGTAGCTCGACCCGTGGGGTGGAACCAGTCAGCACGGTAGCAGTGGGCCCTGCCCCTGTGACCTGCTAGGGGACTCCCCCTTTCCCCGGACTGCTAGAACAGGTATGCAGGGGAAAACCGCACAATGCGACCCAAGTGCGTCACGCCACAGAAATCCTGGGGGGGAGGAGGGGGCGGGGAAGGGAATTGTCCCGGCAGGTTCACCAGCCCAAGTCATCCTCCTGGGAGAGGGGCTGACAGGGACCACTGGCTTCAGGACTGGTGAGGATCAAACAAGACAATAGAACCATCTGAAGGAAATGACAGGGGGAGGATGAGCCCAGATGTCAGGATAGGGACCGAAGAAGGCAGATGGAGAGCTGGAAGGAGCGCAGAGGAGGGGGCGCGGGTCGATTCTGGCCCTGGAGGCAGAATGCCCCAGATAAACGTGGAGACCCACGTCCAGATTCCTGGCGCGGCCACGACTAGGGACGTTCCCCTCCCTCCAGCCTGCCTGCCAGCCCAGCTCCCACTCCTGCACGCACCGTGTTGTAGAATTCGGCGATGGCAGGCACGATGGTGTAGTTGTCTTCGCACCAGTCCACCTCCGAGCTGCCAGCCCGCAGCTGGTCCCACCAATGCGGGACGCTCATGACCGCTGTGGGGCATTGGAGCAGCTGCCCCTGCAGCCGAGAAGGGCCCAGAGCTACTGTTGGAAGCCAAGTGCAGCGGTCGCGGCTTTATACACACACGAGTCAGCGGCCGGATGTGGCGCCTCCCCAGCCGGCCTCCTGGTGCTCCGCTCCGCCTGTTGGACGTGACTCGATCGCAGAGACCCCTCCCCCAGCTCCGCCCCCTGGGGAGGGGAGGCGAGGATAGGAGCAGACCACGCCCAGCCTGGGGGGCAGGATGAGTGTTGGAGAAGAGGTAATCCGGAAGCGGGAACCTCGCTCCAGGCAAATTCAGATACCACCCCCCCCCTTCCTCGCAAATGGCAGGTGCCCAAAGCCTCGGAGGTCAGGCTCATACTTGCCCACGCCTACCTTCCTGGCTCGGACTCACCGGCGCCACCCCTCCTACCCCGGGAGTATCCAGGCCCCCGCATACTCTCGAGGAGTTTGCAGCGCTCTGGCTGCGCCCTGCGTGGGAAGCCCGTGCTAACACCGAAGAAAGAAAAACCCTCGGTCCCCCTGAAGCTAGTTGAGGGTTTGCTTGGCAGGACTCCATGCCATAAGCTGGGGCAGGAAGACTGCGGGCTGGAGTGGCCGACTCCATGACCTTCCCCTGCAGCCTCTGCCGCCCCCTGCGCAGTAGAGCACCTGTGCAATTTCCAGAATGCTCTTGGTCCCCTGGACTCCAGCCTTAGGGTGTTCATCTGGTCTTCAACGAAACATAGGGCGAAACTTTAGTCATACCAACACTCGGAGGATGCACTGTGGCAGGTATGACATCTCCAGGACGTCCGAGGTGCAAGAGATGATGGTATAGATATATACTTGTTACATGCCACACAGTTTGAGGAGCTTCCATGCATCCTTCTTTAGTGTTCCCAGGGAGAATCCTGTGAAGCCGGTTCTATTGACAATGCCATTACAGCTAGTAAGGCAGAGCTAGAAATCACATTCAGGCAGGATGACCTCAGACCTGCTGGTAACTACTTTGCTGCCATAGTTTCTAACACCCAGTCTGGTCCCGACAAAAGCCAACTGTGTGCGTGTGTTGGCTCTGGTCCTTGAGTGGTTCTGGGATTCCAGGTCAGGACGCTGGCAGTGACAGAAGAATCTTCTGGTCAGCAATCCATGGTGCCTGTCGCAAGCATCTGCTTGCTTAAACCTTCATGGCACCCCAAAGGCCAGCAGCTCCCCAGGGACTGCCCTCTCTAGGCCTGACTGTGCAGTGGAACCCTGACTGGTTGTGCAACGTCCATCTGCAGCAAAATACCACACAGCCGTTCGCAGGCCTCCCCGCGTCTCCAGAAACTGCAAGCTCAGCTCCTCTGTCTGTCTCCAGAAAACCCATCTTTCTTCCCCTGGGAACCAAACCACACTTCTCCTACTCCTATTTCTGTCCTAGCTTCTGTCTTCCTCCTAGACAGCCCATTCCACTGCCCTGGAACCCACGCACGCTGGTACCTTCTCCTAAGGTCAGAATTACTCGAGCCTTCGGGATACCCAGTGTGAGCTGGCCACTTAAGTGGAAAGGGGGAAATATTTCTCACAGCCACAGAAGAAAACTACATCAGTTAATTTCCCCATGCCTCACGGTGCTATACCGATTGTCCAACAATAGTTTTCCACGTGGAAATCCTTCCCCTATTTAAGGTGTAAATGTATCTGTATTAACCGTACTGGTATAAAACACACCATTATTTTTATATGCCAGTGATTCTCAAAGTGTGTTCCCCTTTCAGGGGATCCACAAGGTCAAAACTCCCTGTGAACACTATGACGTCATCTGCCCTTTTGGCTCCCCTCTCACCAGCACACGTAGGAGCTTTTCAGAGGGTAAGTGACGTGTGGTGTCATTATCTCTCTGACAGCTAATGGAAACGTGGGTTCTTCAGTATTAAAAGTCTCTTTAAATTTTGAATATGATACACATTGGTAGATATTATCACATTAGGATTTTTTAGAATTTTAGGATCCTCAACATCAAGTACGAAAGGAGTCCTCAAATCAAAACAGTTGAGAGCTGGTGTTAGCCAAAAAAAGGGATGTATCCAATTAAACTCTTTGTAATGCTTTTATCTTTTAGAATTTCTAAATACTTAATGAGAGCTTTTAGAATTAGACCTATATTATTATCCTACATCACTTTTGTGTGTAAAAAGGAAAACATAAGCAAAATAAACTTACGGAGTTCCTGTAATTTCTTCACACTCAGAATCTCTATTCTTTTGCTTAGTCATTTTGCAACTTTGTCATTGGTGTCCTCGTGTTGTTAATTACCAAGCAGTGGTGATGCAGCATTTCTTAACTGCACTCCGCCACTGAATCCTTCCAAACCTGGCGTATACATTTGGATACCAGCACGTTTTTTATCTTACCTGAAGGTTGCAAAGGAAAGCTTTCAGACAATAGGCATCATATTTGTCCTTCAGATGGTCCTTAGGTGATTTGTTGACAGAAATATGGAGATTACAGTTGCCAGGTCGTCCCACCAGGATCAACCACTGAGTTTGTGCATGTTCAGGCAGTGACAACACATCTTGACCCCCCACTTGGCCAACAGTGATTATAAAATGCCATCCACTGAAAGATGTATCTAGATTTCAGGATGTTACAATGCAAAACAATGTGACTTTTAGCACCAATGAAATTTAGAATCCACCGGATGTAAATCATTCAAGTCCTGATAAGGAAATGATGAGGAGTTTTCCTCACCCACCTCAGGAAATTTTATTGTCGATGACGATCCTAGTTCAAGATCGAAAGCAACCGCTTGGGTTCTAATTACAACTGCACAGAGAGAGAGTGCTAAACAGAAGGCCATTGGTGAGAACATAAGGGACACAAGTGACATTTCTCCAAAGCCACTGCTGTAGGTCTTCATGGTACTGCGTTACAATTTTTCTGACGTTTTCATCAACACTCCCCATTGTTGCCTTTTTTCAATGAATATAACCTTAGTAATTTAACATTAGGACCCATCATGGGGTCATTAATTTTTGAAATTGATTTATATCAGTATGCCTTGGCAACTACCTTTAGTAGTTGAATACAAGATTCTGAAATCAGGTGTAAACAGCTTGGGGAGAGGGGTTGGGGATGAACCCTCATGAAGAGTTTGCTTGTGTTGCTTTTAGTCTAAATATGAGTCATATTTAGTCTAAATATGAGTCAGTGATACAGATCCATAAAGAACACGTTTGAGGGAACCACCCCTGCAGGGAAGTCAGGATGCCAGCATCTTCTATTTTTACAGAGTTTATGACTGTGTTTATATGGTGTAAGTAAATATCTGATAATAATATCCAGCTCAACTGGTTCTACAAGTGGAAATTATCAAGTCACAAAGTCTTCCTTGGAAAAAATTACAGGCACCTGTCCCAGTGAAGCACAAAGTGCATGATCCAGAATGAAATTTTCTGTGTTTTCCTGTCTGGTCAGAGCTTTTCATCATGGTCTTGCTTGAGGTCATCATTCAGGCCAGTTGACTCTCCAAGTGTCGTCCCCAGACCAACAGTATCAGCATCAACTAGGAACTTGTTAGAAATGCAAATTTCTGAGCACCTGGGTGGTTCAGCCGGTCAAGTGTCCAACTTCAGTTGGGTCCTGATCTCGGGGCTTGTGAGTTTGAGCCCCGCATCAGGCTCACTGCTGTGAGCGCAGAGTCCACTTTGGATCCTCTGTCCCCCGTCTCTCTCTGCCCCTCCCTGGATCGTACACACTCTCTCTCAAAAATGAATGAACATTTATCAAAAGAAAACAGAAATGCGAATTTCTAGGTCCAGACCCCAGACCTACTGAAGCAGAAACTCTGGGAGAAGAGTCCAACAATCTGTGGCTTAACAATTCTCCAGGTGAGTCCAGCCCATGCTCAAATTTGAGAACCACTATCTTAGCCCATGTGTGGCTGGGCAGAAATTCAGAATGGACTGTATGCTTTGCTTCCCTGAAAAATCAAATCCCAAGCCAAGACTGTTACTGCCACCAGGAAAAAGAAGAAGACAGGCACCTGAGAGAGGCAGCCAACCTTTCCCCACACTCATCACCAGGAAACCGGGGACTCGGAGTCTGGTACCCCTCTTCAGTTAAGAGGGAGACAAGAAAAGCGAGCGAGGATTTTTTTTTTTTTTTCCTTAGATCTAAGGCAATGTCTCCAGGCTCAGAATTGTGGGAGAAGGCTGCAGGAAGCGGGCCTCACCAGGACAACACGACTGCAGCCACTACAGGAATATGGCCCTATTTGCTCTGTCGGGTGGTCTAGTAGTTTGCTGACAGGCCATCAGAGGTCACTTCCTGCTGTTGGCCCTGGGCCTCTCTCCTTTCTCTAATCTACACTGGAAAACCACAAATGGTTTGTTAGGACTGGGCACATAGTAGGAGTCAGTCAGCTGTGATTGCACGTCTGAGGCTTTCCCTATGTCCCAAGGGCATGGAATTGGTTAACGTGTGTTCGGACTGCTGCTTCTCGATAGAGAAGGCGTTACTCTGTTGGATAACTAGCTTGCAAGGCTGTAATTTTGAGCCCCTGCTTTGTGCAAGGCCCCATGTTAAGTGCTGGGTAACCTGAAGACAAATAAGATATTGTTCTCGGCCTCATAGAGCTTAGTCTGGGAGAGGCCCGCAGACCATTAGAATACAACATGATACTTGCAAAGAAGGAGAGGCACACATAGAATGTGGAAGCAAGGGGTGGGGGCCTGAGTCTTCACGGAGTGGCGAGGTAGGCCCAGCAGAGGAGGAGGCCTTGGAAATGAGGTGCGCAAGATGAGTAGGATTATACCAGGAGCAGCCCTGGGGAGAAGCAATCCTTCAGAAGGCCCAGCGTGTGCCCGAGGATGGAGGTCTAATTCAGGAAACTTCAAATACTATGTTTCAGCTAGAAAAGTGGCAGAAAGGGAGGCTGAGCTTGGTAGATGGTAGGAGGAGTACACAGAAAGGATCGGTGAGGTCTTTGCATAATCCAGGAGAGAGATGACAGCATGGTTAAAGCATGCATTCATTCATTTGCATGTAATTATTGAAGGCTTATTATGTGCCAAGACACTTTTCTAGGTGCCAAGGATAAAATGGTGAGCAAAACAGG